GAAGAAATGAGCCGAGCAGAGTGGGGTGAAGTATATATAAACTACTATACCGAGCAGAGTGGGAAGAAGAAGAAGAAAAAATGAGCCGAGCAGATGGGGTGAAGTATATATAAACTACTATACCGAGCAGAGTGGGAAGAAGAAGAAGAAATGAGCTGAGCAGAGTGGGGTGAAGTATATATAAACTACTATACCGAGCAGAGTGGGGTGAAGTATATATAAACTACTATACCTATGTGTGCTTTGTCGGTATTTATTTTACCGATAAAATTAACATAGGTAGTTGACCTCAAGGCAAGGCAGGAATCGAAAAATCAAAAAATTTTGCAATCCCGCCCAAATTACCGACCAGGTTTACATTGGTATGTTGCTTCCTAATTTACCGACCAAAATCTGTTTACCAACTTAAAACTTGTCAGTAAATTAGCTAAAAGGCTGCAAAACCAAGCTCGAGCAACCGAGCTGGATTCACAAGGGATTGTACTGGCATATTACCGATGAACATAACATCGTAAATTTGAACAAAAAACTGGAACTCCTGGCGCAACCAGCCAGATTCACGAGATAAGTTGGGCTACAAGATTGCCGACAAGAAGCATGTCAGTAAGTTGAATAAAAAGCTGCAACTCCTAGCGCAACCAACCAAATTCAAGGGGGAAAGTTAAGTTTGTGAAATTACCGACAAGAAGAATATCGGTAACTTCTATTTTGGTCCACGGGTCACTGGACTGAATATTGCGTGATATTACCGAAAAAGAACATGTGTGCATTGTTTTAATTTACTGACAAAGATTTTGTCTGACCCATAAATAATATATGTTACTCTTAATTTAACTGTTTCCAAATTTTCAGACATATTGCTTGTCAGTAAATTGCTAATTCACTGAGGAAAATTGTTAGGTCAGTGATTGTAGGTCGGTGATTGTAGATCGGTGAAGTTGAGTTTTCTAGTAATGGTATATGTATATATGGTTACAAGAAAAATTCACAATCATACTTAAAATTAATGACAATTAATGGGATTTTGAATTTGTTAATTCTATTACATTAGTCAAAATTTAAAATTTTTAAGAAATATAAATATAATAGAATGTAAAAAAAAA